TTGATGAGTTTTAAGATATAAGATATAAATATGAATGCAATTTTTGTATAAACTATTTGTTGAGATAAATCTGTAATCGATAGGAAAATTCAATAAATAACTTTGAAAACAAAATCTTTTATGAACTACAGTAATACTTCAATGTTTCTTGAATATAAACTATCACTAACAACGATATTTAATTGAAAAATAATTTTTCTTTTTAATTTTCTTACTAAATAAAATTATTTAATTAGTTTGATTGATTAGATATGAGCCAAATGTTGATTTATCTTTCATCTGCTAATAGAATCTAATAAAGACCAAAAGTAGTTTGTTAGAAATAGACTTACCTATTCTGCTCTAATTTGTATTCAGAATAAAGTAAGGCGCAAATGTGTTTGTCCTCAGTGTTTCAACTACTTCTTAGAGTGGATACGATAAATATGAAAATCAATCATGTTTACAAATAAGACGTAGTAATAATACTATTCTCAGGATTACTATACAAATGTTTAGTTCGATTAATGAATTAATTGATAAACAAGATGACTACGATTTATATTAAATGATTGAATAGGTATTTGATCAATAAATATAATATGATTATTGGTATTGAATATATTTAAAGAAAATTGGTATGAAAGTATTCTAAGTATAAAATTGATTTCTCAATACTATATAAAATTTCAAGTATACGATATTCAACATGAGATATAATTAAATTATCTTGCAAAGATCAATACAAATATAATATGCATTATGATATTTGATACATTTATTCGCTGAAATACAGATGCTAGAATATACATTGGAAAAAAAACGATTCGAGTTAAAAATATTATTCCATTACAGACCGTAGCAATGAAGAATAACAGGCGTCACATTTTTTAGATTTTGTTGCAAAATTGATCAAGTTATAATTTTGAAAAATAATAAATATTATTACTTGTGAGTTGATTAACATAAATAATAGTGCTTGAGACCTGCTGTAAATATCATGAATATGTAAAACAGACATATTTATCAATTAATTTAATGATTATAATAATAAGAATGTTAAATTAAGAAAAAAAGAATTTTAAAAAATGAAAATTCTTTTCGAAATGCAGAAATTAGAGAAGTCATTACTCTGAATATCAATTATCCTGCAAGCACCTATAATCTACGAGAGATTTATCACTTTATATGTTATGTATTAGTTTAATTAGGGTAGATAGTATATATGAGTTCTATATTTCAGCCTCAAAGGAGCTGTGCTAACAAGCTTTTTCATGAAATAAGAGTAACAAAAATGGTTTTGATAAAACCAGGAATCTTGATACTCATCTTGTCACAGGCATATTGTCATTTTCAGGCATTAACACAGGATTTTTTGTCACTTTCAATCGCTTGGTTTCAAATTTCAGACATTTTGAAACTTGGGGACACGATACTAATACTTTGATCAGACTATAGATAATGCTATAAGAATATTTAGCTGGGCAAAGCGGGTACAAAGAATGTTGATGATATCATGTGGATATAAAGCATATTTTTAACATGTTTAGAATATGCAATTTCCGTAGGGATTACCGAATATGGGAATCTACATTTTCAACTCTTGAAGAATAATGGTTCGTTTCATTCCGCTCCTTAACGTGCTGCTAACGAATCATTTCCCATATCTAGTACTTCTAATATCCTATCTTCGGTGCAACTCATCCTTTCAGTAGAGGGTTAGCAGCGTTCGCGCTGCGTTACTTGTTATGTTATAAATTGATAGATCTATGGTAAACACAATAGTGAAACTTAATAGAACTAATTGAATTATTTATTCGAAAGAATAAATACTAGTTAGAATATTATTTAATAATAGAAATAATTTAATAAAAAAAAAAAAAAAATTTAATAAATCGTATAAAGAGTTAAAAGTCTCTTTTTCAAAGATTCTTGTTTAACTGAGTTATGTTCAAATGATGGAAGCATAATCAATAAATAATGTATGCTCTATAGTTGACCTTGGAATATGTGTCGATCAATAATCGAACAACATTTAAAAAGTGATTTAATTAAACGTCTTGATAAAAAAAAGATTTTAAAATCAATTTAATTATTAGCTAACAAATCGTGATATAAATTATGAATATGATGATACTGTTTTAATGAATAGTAGAATTAATGAAAGAATCTTTTGTAGAAAATAAATCCCAATTAAATGTTTTAATATATTCATTAAATGAATATCGATATTCAAAATCATCTCAAAATGGACACGCCATTAATAGCAAATTATTATTCAACATCGAATGATTATCAATCAATCTGTTTTAATCAATATTTAACCTGAATATCTCAAGCTAATCAATTAATTCAATTATTATATTTAATTGTTGACTAACAAGAAACAAAACTAACAAATAATCTTATTTCAAATATTGGTCCCAGTCGAACATCTTCTAAGCAAGATCTTGATCAACATACAAGGTACAGATATATGAACAGATCTTGAAAATTTAGCTACAGGATAATCATATTATCTTGGACCAAAATCTCTAATAAGATCTTAGCTACAGATCTATAAGATCTTGACTGAAATGCATATGGTCAAAAAATGAGGATGTAGGTGTGGATAGATCCTCTTTATACGCACACCCATACCCTTGACTAGATAGATAGATATATAAAATTAAGTTGGATAGATAGGTACGGAGTTAGGTAGGCGATTAGGTAGATAGATGAATTGATACTTAGATAATTAGGCAAATAGATAGATTGAATATTAAGTAAGGCGGTATTTAGGTAGGCAGTTAGATAAAAACCGAGTTGGTGCTGAATTAGATAGTAGTTTTCCAAGAGGGTAGAGTTAGGTAATTAAGTAAGTAGGCAGATTGCCAGATAGGTTTGTAGGTGATTTAACGGGTAACCAGAAATTTTTCTGCAAAAATGTCAAAGCTTATATCTCGGTCATTTTAAAAGATATCTAACTGATGTTATTTTTAAATGAAAGACCGTCTTTTGTTCTCCAACAAACATATAGAATATTTGTTTCAGATCATAATTAGCAGAAATGCCAGGACAAAATCGAGAAGAACTTCGAAAACGCATTGTAAATTTCTACAACGATGCTGCTGGTGGGAATGTTAAAGTAACTGTAAAGTTTTTTGTCCAACAAGGATTTAAACAGAGAATGATATATTATGTATTGAAACGATATAAGGAACGTGCAACAACGGAAGATTTGCCCAGATTCGATATACCGATGAAAATAAGCAAAAATGATCAGGTTTAGTCCGAAAAGTCAACAATAAAGTTGGTATTAGCCAGCGGCGTTTTGCCAAGCATTATAATGTTAATCAGTCTATCATTTCTAGAAATTTGAAGAGAAGAACAAACATTAGAATTTATAAACGCACCAAAGTTCCTAAATACTTGAACTAGCAATGGGAACGGGTACAAAAAAATTGTGGTCAGTTATATCGAAAAATTTCAAGCAACTGCTTTGTTACTATGAATGATGAGAAATATTTTTCATTAAGTAATACTGATATACCTGGTAATTGCTATTACTATACAAGTGATAAATCTACAGTAACACTAGATATTAAGTACAAAAAAAAAGGCAAAATATGAGCTAAAGATTATGGTATGGTTAGCAGTTTCAGCCAAGGGTATATCTGAGCCAAACATTCATCGTAGCAAAAATGCAGTTAATGGTGATGTTTATCTGAATCAATGCGTTAAATGCAAATGAATTCCGTTTATTAAAAGGTTTCATTCGAAAGATGACGTATTATTTTGGGTAGATCTTGTCCGTGCTCATTACTCAAAAGAAGTTTTAACATTCTTGGAAGCTGAATCCATATCAGTTGTACCAAAATTTATCAATCCACCGAACACACCACAAGGTCGTCCCATTGAAGACTAACTGGGAGGCAAAAACAATCAAACAACTGGAGCGTTGAATACGAAAAAAGCTTAAACAAGTTGATATAACAGTTTTACAGCACATGATGGAAGATATCAGAAAGAACCTTTGAAAAATGTATACTGATGGCGTCTTTTTTGTTTGGCATGAGATTTTTTTTGAAGAATAAAATATGGTCTTTCATTTAAAAAAAAAATTCAGTTCAATATCTTTTAAAATGACTGAGATATAGCCTTTGACATTTTTGCAAAAACTTTTGCATCACCCTTATATGTAAACATTCTTTATGTGATTTCAAGTGAAAATAAATATTTTAAACGGCGATAGAAAAGATTACATTTTATGAAAATAATAAATGCACCATAATTTCATTTTTTAGTTGTTCATTTTAGGACAAATGAATTTTGTATTTAATCCTAGCTAAGCGAATTTCAAAACAATTGCTAAAGTTGACATACCGATATACAAGTTCATCAATTTGAAATCTACAATTGTTTCCATTTAGATTTTAAAAAATCGTTATTCTAATAAGATTTTCTTAACACGAAATCATAGCTCTTGCATACGATGAGACTGGTGCAATATGTCTACCAACAAATGTTCATTCTCTGGTTTCTGAAAAAAATCAAGAACTGTCACACTCATTGATATGTATAGTAGAATTTTATTTACAACCTGAAGAATTATAAAACATTGATTCGTCATAACTACAATACGTTTTCAAAGCAGGAAACTTCCAATTTTACATTTCTGTTCATATATTAACAACAACTGATATATTAAAACTTACATTAAACATCTACTGAAAAAATGAGAATCTTTTGGAACCGAAAACGACAGAACATTGGAAAAAAACCAATTAAAGTACTTCGGAAAATATAATGATCTCCTAGAAATCAATAGAAAGAAGGCATTATCATCAACCTAAATATCGATAAAACTTTTTAAATATTTAGTCTAACAATGAAACAATATATGTGAGATGTCACTAGATTCTCGTTATAACCATTTCATTTCCGATTCATTCGTTCAACAGGAAGAACCATACAAAAACGTCTTAGCAACAAGCAAGAAAAAACACTGAATTGAATTGAATTATCTCTTTTCATAAACAATGTCATCATTAACATCTCTTATTCCATTTGAATGGTTTGAAATTCATAGTAATTCTCGTTCACCTCAACTTCGCGTTGGTCATTCAAGTACATTTACTCGTTCATTATCAAATATTTATATAATTGGTGGTGCTAATCCATCGGAGTGTTTTGCAGATATTCATTCACTTTCATTACCATCAAAAACATCTGAATCATTTATATGGACAAAATTAATTGGTGAGGATTCAGCACTTCGACGTTATGAACATTCAGCTGTTTTATCATCGGA